TCGCAGCCGGCCAAAGAATATTTCTTATATCTCCCATACCAAAGGTGGCATCAAGAAAGATGGCTAAGTGGGTGGATCAGATGATCCATTTCCATGGAGAACGAAAGCTTTTGATTGATTGTCAGAAATGCCAAGCAAATGGCAGCAAATTGGTTTTTTGAAGAAGAAAATGGAAATAAAGATGGAGAGTATGAAGTATACATGCATTTATAGGGGGGTGAAGGTGAAATTACAGAATGTGATGTGCATTTATAAGAGGTGAAGGTGAAAAGACGGAATATGAGCAGTCATATTCGTGTCTAGTAAATGGGATTAAATGACCCAAAATCGGGTAGAAATATCAAAAGAAAATGTGCAAAAATTTTAGCATAAAGCAGTTAAATGCCTGGACGATTGACGATTAAAAGACGAACGTCAATAAATGCACAAAAAGCTAAAATAATTATTCATTGACAATGATGGCTGCTGTTATATCAGTACAAGGTTACAAAGGGAAAGTCAAATGCGAAATTACAAAAAGAAAAGTTAAGGCAATATACATCCTAATTACATTCGCCCCATACCGAGCGAATTCTTTCCCTAATCTTCCCCCAGTCTTCGTTCTGCTGAGAAGAAGTGATGTTCAATTCAGCCACAACATCATCATCAACTTCCAACTTCTTGTACTGCTCGACCAAAGACTTAGCTCGCTTAATTCCTTGGGAGTCATTACGCTTTTTAGCAGCCATTCTCGACTTGCAGTCGTCCATCTTGGCTTGAAGTTCCTTCATCTGAGCAGCCAAACTAGTCATCAAAGAGTCTTCAATCATGACTTCGGAAGAGATTTCTTTTAGCTCGTCTTCAGCTTTGTTGATCTCCAAAAGCAAAGACTCTTTTACAGAACGGCGCGAAGATATTGAGTACTTTTGGCCTTCAATTCAACATTCTTGGCCAGCAAAGAGAGGACTTCGGAATGGATAACTTTCAACATCGCTTTAAAATCAGCAGAAAGATTGAGTAATGGAAGTGTCAGTGCTTGCTCCAATTTCGCATTCAAATGCTCAAGCTTATCCTTATACCTAGCAGCACTAGCCTTATCGATGTCCATATCCATGAAGGACACATACTCAAATATCGACTATTTGAGGAACTTCATATCGTCCTCTGAAGAAGCAGAAGGACAACTGGCTGAAGCAGGGTGAGATGTTTTGACTTGCCCCTAGAAAGCGAACAAGTCTTGAATGGAACGCACAATTTTATAAGCATCCTGCAAAGAAAATCGCCAATATTGAAGGTTTTCACTACACTAAACAAAGTGGAGGTAAAGGTAAAGCTAAGATTACCTCATCAGCAATTTTGGAAGATGGCATATTCCCCGCTAAATCTGCCATCCTGGCTCCATCATTTGTGAGGACTTCCCCTTGTCTAAGCGAGAAGACTTTCATGGGAACATCTGCAGGACTCAAAAGACAACAAATCAACACCAATAGCACAAGCAAAGGTAAAGCATCAAAAAACGAATTACCTTCTGCTTCGACGTTTGGGGGGTCAACGCCCTGGGAAGAAGGTGGCTCGTCCATTGGTTGTGATGAAGATTCTGGGACTGAAGGTTTCTCTTTAACCGTAGCCCCTTCATCAGCAAGTTTGGACGAATCAGCTTCAGCAGAGGATGATGGAGCAGGAGCTGCCAACACCAAAGCCTTCAAGGGAGAGGTTGAACTTTTTTGAGAGGTCCAAATAAACTATCAGCACATGGAAAAGCCTCAAGTATAGAAAGGTATGCTTATGAGTAAATCGATTCAATTACCTTCCTCCTGACAATGAGAGGGGTATCATAATCATCATCAGCATCATCCTCCAAAATGGGAGACGCTGAGGCTAGCCGTTTTCAGCTTGGGGCACTTTTAGCTGCAGTGGGCTTGGCAGGAAGAGAAGTCGATGGACGGGCAGATTGTTTAGCACGAGCAGAGGAAGAGGGACTGCCAATGGACACAGGAGTGACCAAAACAGGAGAGATGGAAGAAATGTTTGACTGGTCTAGTGAATGGAAAGCACGATTGGCATCAGTCGCAAACAATCTGCGTTTCACTGACGGCCAGAGTCGTTCAAAAAGGGGATGGATGGCACGACTAGAATTGAAGGGGGCTAATGAGAAGTTGCTCGTCAAAAGAAGATTGTGAGTATTTATAGCCTCTGCCTCCGTCTTATTAATAGTATGGAATCGGTCTATCAAATTCCTTGAATAGCAAGGAGGAACGAGCCAAGTTTGGCCAAAATCAAGTTGGCGAGCAAAAAATTTAGGAGCATTTATCTCTACCCCAGCCTTGGCATTAGTCCCAGTCAAGATATCATGAAACAACTCCCTCCCAGTCAAAAACTGAATCCAAATAAACAAGGAAGTGTTCGCATTATTCAGAGTGGATGGGAGTTGCACATAATCTGGAGTCAAAAAGGGAGGAAAAGGAAAGAAGGAAGGGATTGAATCCAAAGTATAAAAGAATGAAAAAATGTCCCTTTTGAACATATTTACAGGAGTCAGGGGCTCAATGGCTTGCCTGTAGCAGCTAGCAGAAGGGCTGGAAAAAGATGGAGCACCAAGCGATGGAAAATAAACTCTCAACCACATTTGAGCGAACCAAAGAGGTCCACTGCTAGTGGGAGATGCACCATTCTTCAATTGGGATTGAAGAGAAGCCATACCTCTATAGAGGGCAACTAAAAAGAAAGAACATAAATTCAGAGGCCTACCATGCGCCAATTCGTGCGCTATGGATAAATAGCTCAGGGAGGGCTTTATATTTGGCACACACAAAATGTATTTACAAAGCCAAATCAGAAGAAAGGTCACTCACTCAGTATGGGAAGGCTCAGCGCGCTCGAGTGGTTATGAAGGGTTTGCAGACTTGAATAAGACTCGGTGAGGCCTTTACCAAATTTTGGGGCGGCACCAGAAATCAGGATACCAGGAAAAATGGTATCGCCCAAAGGTGGTAGATTTACTAGGGCCCCAATATCCCTTAAGGTAATGGACATGGGACCGAGAGGAAAAACAAAAGAATTATATTCAGCAGGCCAAAAACTTAAAGCGATTGAAAAAAGTACTGGGTCAAAAATAGGGGATTGAAGAGAGATTTCTAATAAATCAGAAATCCTAGCATTATGAAAAATTGTCTTAGTAGGACCATGGTCTACAAGGCGAGTATGCCATCTACGAAAAACGACATCAGATTTAGGCCAAGTGCGAATACCTCTTTCGTGAAGTGGCCCCAGCGGCAAAGAATTTAAAAACGAAGGGCCATGAGTACAAGGGAACAGCTGACCGACCGTCGCTTGTTGGATGGCCTCGGCATTGTTGAATGAAGGACCTAGATAGAACTCATTAAGTTCTACATTGGCCGGTGTAAGAAAGTTCGGAATTACATATGGCCGAGTAAGGAGTTTCTGAAAGTCTTCGAAATTGAAGGAGTCACCAAACTAAGATTGTGAAGCAGCCATTAGGGACGAAATAGAGTTTTGCAGAGTTACGTAGTAGAGAAGCAAGGAGATGAACAGTAATATTGCGAGAGAGGCGTGATTTAGTGGTGCAATGAAATAGCGTATTCGGGGGTTATAAGGGTTTGCAAACGTCGCACCTTTTCAGGCTATAGAAGAAAACAATGATTGAAATTCTTGAAAATTTCGAATGTTGTTGGGAAACACAAAGTGAATATGGAAAAATTAATAATTGGTATTAATTCTGCCATATTGGGGTGTAATTGTTGACACACAAAAAGTTCAGCCCAAGTCGAATAGCCCAAAGAATGAAGCCCAACTGGAAAATCCCCAAAATCAGATAGCCCAAAGAACGAATCAGTCAGGCAATGCAAGATAAAGGCCCAAATAAGGAAGCCCATGAATGCGAAAATACCATCGTCCAAGGTTGCAAGTCGCCCAAGATTTGAGCGAATGAATTGCCATGCAATCGCCCAGAGCTGTGACTCTGCTCTCGTCCAAACATTCGAGTCGCCCAGCATCTTAGCAAACATAAGAAGTTATGGTTATCCAAAAGTGCAGTTAATGAAGCAGTTATTGGGTAGTCCTATCACGTTCCACGATTCAAGAAATTCAATTGAAGACGGTTGAACGACAAAAGTAATGACAGCAGTTAGAGAAGGCAGTTCTATGACAAGTTGGCCACTACAAGGAAAGTAGGCAGTTATAGAGCGATCAAGCAGTTTCTTAAACAGTTGATCACGAAGAAATCACCCAGGGAGTGTAAAAGGAAGAAAAGACATAGAGCAAAGGACCCCGAATCAAACACTTTCAAACAGAGAATATGTAACCTTCAATTTCTTAGTTTAGATTTAAACACTTCTTTTACAGTAACTCGTGTGCTTGCGCCCCTTGGAGGCATTCTGTTTTTACTTTCCAATTGTAAAGTCATCGCCAATAAAACCGCCCCTTTTTGGGACTTTGTCTCAAGAGGTTTATCCCTTACACAATCGTCTGATCCCCTTTTTAATTGTTAGAGACTAACCCGCGTGAAACAGAATCCAAATACCAATGAAAAAAAAAAAAGAATCCAAATACAAGAAAACGGGTTCTGTTTATATTGGGATGAATTGTTTTTTTGTTTGAAACGTTTTTGTGCAATGCAGGTGACCCAAGGAAGGTTGAACACCTGATGGCACTTGAAGGAGCTAAGGAAAGACTGCATTTGTTTGAAGCCAACTTAACTGAAGAAGGATCTTTTGATTCTGCAATTGATGGTTGTGAAGGCGTCTTTCATACAGCGTCACCCGTTTTCCTTTCAGTCACTAATCCTCGGGCCCCTAATATTAGTTTTCTTATATATTATTCAGTTTTTGCACGCAGGGTTGATTTTATCATATGGTAGAACTATCTTGATGTGATTTCCGTAAAGGAAATAAGGTTTATTTTATTAAATAGTTTTAGCATGCAGGGTTGACTTGTTTCTACTAACAAATACTCAAAATCTTCTATTCAAACATCGTTTTACACATTTCAGGCAGAACTTCTAGAACATGCTATAAAGGGAACACTTAATGTTCTCAAATCATGCACAAAGGTACCATCAGTTAAATGAGTGGTTATAACGTCTTCTATGGCTTCCTTAATGAATAACGGGAGACCTCTAACTCCTGATGTTGTAATTGATGAAACCTGGTTTTCGAATCCAGCATTCTGTGAGGAAACAAAGGTGCGTATCATTCCTAGTAATCTACTTTAGAGCTTTACTTCTTTCAGTTATTCCGAATCTAACGATAGAAGTATGAATATGGCTCTTGAATTTAATGAAGACGTCGAGGAAAACTTCTTTTTTTCTATTTAATAAGAGAGAATTCCACGTAAACGGAGAATCATTTAACGGTTTCTTCTTATTTTTATAATTGGTGAAGTTCCACTGGATATGGATATAGTATTTATTCATTTGTGCTTAGGTCCATTTCGCACCCCAGAATTTTTTTTCCGACGTGACTGTCCAGTACTTTTGAATTACTGATTGATGGTAAAAGGAACCTGGCCTCTTTTCTGGGAATAGTTTTAAAGAGTTACTTCTCAATAAACTGCTGGTTGTTTCAGCAATGGTACCCTCTTTCGAAAACCTTGGCAGAGGAAGCTGCGTGGAATTTTGCAGATGAAAATGGCATTGACTTGACAATTTTGCATCCTGGATTTGTTATTGGTCCTCTGTTGCAGCCAACTCTCAATTTAACTTCTGAGGATATTTTGAACTTCATTAAAGAAGGTATTCTTTGTATAGGCATTCTGAACAGTGGTTTTGATAAATCTTTCTGCGTGGACTTTGTCCTTTACTAAATGCTCAATTTTACATTTTGTAGGGAGAGAAATTTTTCCTAATGGAATCTACAGATATGTTGATGTTAGAGATGTTGCTCAAGCACATATTCTGTTGATAAATTGTTCAAAAATCAAAAGGTGTGGCGTTTGGAATGAAAGGGAGAAAAAATGGATAAGGTCAAAAATTTGGTCACACAGGCAAAATGCCGTGCAACCGCACGGCTTTCTCCAAGGAATTAAATCCCCTGTTTAATATAACCATGCGGCAGCACGGTATTAATTTGTAACCCTTTTTTCCCGTTTTTAGCCTTTGCCAATTCAAACTTGGTGACTTTTTGGCTCATGTTTTGGCACCTTTTTGTGCATTTGAGACTTGCCTATAAATAGTGGATCCCTATTGAAGGCAAATTTAATTGAAAAACATTTGAGAAACATTATCATTCCAAAACAAAGATCAAATTCTGATTTTATTCATATTCAAAAACCCTCATTGTGTTCTTCAAGTTTTGGGTGATAACACTTGTGCTTTGGTGTTAATCTCTTACAAGGCTTGTTATAATCCTATAAACCATTTGCTGGCGATCCCTTGAAGCATCCCATACAAAGAAGAGGGGGCAAATATAATTTGAGGACATCGATATCGTGTTCAAGCCTTCGGTGTTACATTAATTTGTTCGTGATCACTTTGTTCCAAATTTGTTGCAGTATTTTGCTGCTGGTTATTAGTTGTTATTCTTTTCCTCTCTTCATCAATTTCCAACAATCTCAAACTGTAATTGTGCAATGGAGAACGAGACAACTTTGGCAACATTCAAATTAATGAATCAAGACTTGGTGCGGTTGGATTAGTTCGATGGAACAAACTACACGCGATGGAAAGATAAATTAAAGTTTCTCCTTACTGCACTAAAGATATTCTATATTCTAGATCCGGAATTGACGCCACTACCGGAACCAACAAATGGAGAAATTAAAGACGTTAGAAATGAAAGACAAAAGCGCCAAGAAGATGAACTTATTTGTCGCGGTCACATTCTCAATGCACTGTCGGATCGTTTGTATGATTTATATACAAACACAACATCGGTGAAAGAAATTTGGAAAGCCTTGGAAAACAAATATAAAGCGGAGGAAGAAGGTACCAAGAAATTTTTAATTTCTAAATATTTTGATTTTAAGTTCTTGGAAAGTATTTCCCTTCTACCCCAAATACATGAAATGCAAGTGATTGTCAATAAGTTGAAGGTGGTAAAAATCGAAATACCGGAGACCTTTCAAGTGAAGGCTATAATTGCCAAACTTCCCGGAACTTGGAAATGATACCAAAAGAAAATAATGCATAGTTTCGAAGATTATTCTTTGGAACAATTGCAAAAATATCTTCGAATTGAGGAAGAATCGAGAATGCGTGACAAAAATGATTCTCATGAGGGCACTTCCAAAGCAAATGCTGTAGAGAAATCCGAACCGCCAAAATCCAACAAAAGGAAGCCTTCAAAGAACATTAATAAGTTCAAGAAGAAGACCAAAGGAGGATGCTTTGTGTGTGAAGAATCTGGACACTACGTAAAATATTGTAGACACCAGAAACACAACACCTTCGAAGGTAATGTGAATTCCATCCAAGAAGAAAGGATTGTGGTCACCGTAAGCGAGATAAATGCTATTAAGGGAAATGCTCCTGGCTGGTGGTATGATACTTGTGCCACGGTATATGTATCATATGACAAATCTTTATTCAAAACATACAATGAAGTGGATGGAGACCAAGAGATCCAAATGGGTAATGAGGTGCGATCCAAAGTGATTGGAAAAGGAAGTGTAGACATTATCTTCACTTTCGGGAAAATCGTTACTCTTACAAATGTACTACTTGTTCCGGATATGAATAGGAACCTAGTGAGTGAAAATCTCTTGGGAAAATCGGGCATTAAAAGTGTCTTTGAGTCCGGTAAACTTGTATTATCCCTCAACGGGAAAATTTGTTGGAAAGGGCTATTCTTGTGAAGGAATGGTCAAGCTATATACTATTGACAATAAAATAAATAAAGTTGATTTTTGCTTACATGATTGATTCTTTTTCTTTATGGCATGCTAGATTAGGTCACATAGGTAAAAGTACTATGAAACGTATGAAAAGTTGTGACTTAATTTCTTATGATAAAAATGATGCCATAAAATGCAAAACATCAAAAATGGTTAAAAGGCCTTACAAAAGTGTTAAGAGGACCTTTAGCATATTAGAATTAATTCACTCCGATATATGTGAATTGAATGACATGCTAACAAGAGGTGGAAATAGGTATTTCATAACTTTCACTGATGATTATTCTAGATTTACCTATGTCTATTTGATGAAGCATAGACATGAAGCCTTTAATATGTTTAAGATTTATAGGAATGAAGTTGAAAATCACTTAGACAAGAAAATAAAGACCCTAAGAAGTGATAGGGGTGGTGGATACTTTTCTAGTGATTTTAATTCATTTTGTGAACAACATGGCATAATTCACCAAAGTTCTGCACCTAGAACACCCGAACAAAATGGTTTGGCTGAAAGGAAAAATAGAACATTACTTGAGATGGTTAATGTCATGCTTACTTATGCTAAGTTGCCATATAATCTGTGGGGTGAAGCCTTATTAAGTGCAAAAAGAATATCGAATAGGATTTCTTCTAAACATACTAAGGTTTCTCCTTATAAATTGTGAAAATGAAGAAAACCAAACATTGAATACTTCAAAGTGTGGGGGTATCTTGTCTATTGCAAGAACACGAACCCAAATAGGACCAAGTTGGGTCCAAGAGGCATAAAGTGTGCCTTTATAGGATATGCTCGTAATAGCAAATCTTATAGGTTGTTGAACTTGGAGACCAATGTAATAATTGAATCAAGTGATGTGGAGTTCTTTGAGAATTCACTATCTTCGGATAATGAATTAAGGGAAAATCAAATAGATATCCCTAGCTCAAGTGGAACACAAGGTGAAACATCTTCAAAAGATGTTGAAGAATCAAGTGAACCACGAAGAAGCAAAAGAACTTGGATTGAAAAGTCTTTAGGACCGGTGAAATTGATTCTCAACTTATTTCCTTTTATTCAATAGAAGGAAATGAGATGAATGTTAAAAGAACAATTCCATTTGTTCTGCAAGTTGAAACTGTTCCTAAAACATATAGGGAAGCTATGGCTTCTCGTGATAGCATGTTTTGGAAAGATGCAATTAAAGATGAAATGGATTCAATTATGTTAAATAATACTTGGGAAGTTGTCGATTTGCCACCTGGATCCAAACCTATTGGATGGAAATGGGTATTTAGGAGGAAATATAATGTTGATGGTACCCTAAATACTTTTAAGGCTAGATTAGTAGCCAAAGGATTTCGACAAAGAGAAGGAATTGATTATTTCGATACTTATGCTCCGATAGCAAGAATAACATCAATAAAGATTTTATTCGCACTAGCATCAATTTATGACTTGCAAGTTCATCAAATGGATGTCAAAATGACATTCTTAAATGGAGATTTCGATGAGAAGGTCTATATTGAGCAACATGAAGGATTTGCTCTACCTGGAAATGAACATAAAGTGTGCAAGTTGGTAAAATTGCTATACGGACTAAAATAGGCACCTAAAAAGTGGCATGAGAAATTTGACTTAGCAATTATATCATTCGGCTTCAAACATAATAGTGTGGATAGATGTCTATACTTTAAAATATGTAATGATTTTATGACATTTATATGTTTGTATGTCGATGATATGTTGATTATTAGTAATCACATGAACGGAATAAAAGAAACGAAGAAGCTTTTATTTTCCACATTCAAAATGAAGGATCTTGAAAAAGTGGATAACATCTTGGGTATCAAAGTCACAAAGACTAGTAGGGGTTACTATCTAAGTCAATCACATTATATTGAGAATGTGATAAACAAGTTCAAAAATTTGAACGTAAAAGAGTATAGTACCCCAATTGATCCGATCATGAAATTAGTAAAGAATGATGGAAGGGCGATTGCTCAATTGGAATATGCAAGTGTCATAGGAAGTCTTATGTATGCAGTACAATGCACAAGACCGGATGTAGCCTATGCAATAAGTAAACTTAGTAGGTTTACTAGCAATTCAAGCAATGAATATTGGAAGGATATTTAAAGAAGACCAAGAACTTAGGCTTGCCATACACTAAATTCCTGATTGTGTTGGAAGGATTTACTGATGCTAGTTGGATATCTAGCACGGGAGAAAGTAAATCCACATCGGGTTGGGTGTTTACTCTAGGAGGAGGTGCAGTTTCTTGGAAGTCAAAGAAACAAACATGCATAACACATTCAACTATGGAATTCGAATTTGTAGCGTTGTCAGAGATCGGGAAAGAGGTTGAGTGGCTTAAAGATCTCTTTTATGAGATACCGTTGGGAATGAAGGGCATTTCCTCTATACCTATCATGTGTGATAGTTAAGCCACATTAGCTAAAGCATACAATGAGGTATATAATGGGAAGTCTAGATATATGAGTCTAAGACACGACTACATAAGGAAATTAATCAAAGATGGAATAATTTCCCTAAATTATGTTAAGTCTATAGAGAATCTAGCGGATCCTTTAACTAAATCACTAAATAGGGATTTAGTGGAATCTACTTCGAGTAGGATGAGATTGAAACTCCCAAACCATAAAGATTTACCAATGACGAAAACCCTACCCATCGCTTACTCAAAGGGGTAATCCATGGGTTCAAAGGATAACAACAAGTCGTTCGATATGTGGATAGTTGCAGCATTATAAAAAAAATCCGCGATAATCCTATCCTAAAGAAAAATAATGCTGGTTGTTACTGAAGTGAGGGTTGAGCCTTGAGCTCTTAATAAAGTTCAGTGCTAAAACACAAGCATCTCTAAAAGTAACAAAGATGCTGGAAGAACTTTACCTATACAAACTTCGAGGTGGTGCCGCCTCAATTGAGAGTTGGAGTTTCTCTCTTAAAAGTTTGTTGACAAGGATAAGTGCAAGGCCATAAAAAACACTAAGCGAGATTGAGGAACTTGAGAACACATGATGCTCATGTGTGTGTTCTTACCAGTATTGTCATATGGAATAACTGGTTCAAAGCTACGGCTAACTTTGATTTCGACTTTACTTTGTAGGAATTACACTATGGATAGATTCAAATCGAAAGATATCTAATCCTTAGGCATGAGTATCGCATATTTGGAATTGAGTCCTTATTGAGTTTTGAACAAGTTGTGGATTGTTGATAAATTGTTCAAAAATCAAAAGGTGTGGCGTTTGGAATGAAAGGGAGAAAAAACAGATGAAGGCAAAAAATTTGGCCTGTGCGACCGCGCGGCCGCACGACTCCCTCCAAGGAATTAAATCCCCTGTTTAATATAACCATGCGGCTGCACAGTATTAATTTGTGACCTTTTTTCCAGTTTTTAACTGTTGCCAATTCAAACTTGGTGACTTTTTGGCTCATGTTTTGGCACATTTTCTTGCATTTGAGGCTTGCCTATAAATAGTGAGTCCCTGTTGAAGGCACATTTAATTGAAAAACATTTGAGAAATATTATCGTTCCAAAACAAAGATCAAATTTTGATTTTATTCATATTCAAAAACCCTCATTGTGTTCTTTAAGTTTTGGGAGATAACACTTGTGTTTTGGTGTTAATCTCTTACAAGGCTTGTTATAATCCTACAAACCATTTGCCGTTGATCCCTTGAAGCATCCCATAAAAGGAGAGGGCGCAAATACAGTTTGAGGACACGATATCGTGTTCAAGCCCTCGGTGTTACATTAATTTGTTTGTGATCACTTTGTTCCAGATTTGTTGCATTATTTTGTTGCTGGTTATTAGTTGTTATTCTTCTCCTATCTTCATCAATTTCCAACATATTCTAGCATTTGAGAATCCTTCAGCTAGTGGCAGATACTGTCTAGTTAGAATAGTGACATTCTTCTGAAGCTCTAAAGATTTTAAATCGGCTTTTCCCTTCCCTCAACCTCCCTGCAAAGTAAGTCTTTAATATGCACTATATTAATCAGTAACAAGTTTTCTTGCTCTTTTATGAATTAATATTTTCAAATTATGCATCACAAATTTCTTAAAGTTATGGCTAAAGCAGTGTATTTCGCCCAAGTTAAAATTACTGGATTTGATTTTTCACAAATCGAGGTAAGATACTGAAATGGTATATATCTTAGTACTCAACAGTAATAAAAGTATACAATACTAAATAGATGATATCCTGTGCGAATACATAAGTCCAACACAGATGCATCGAGTCCAACATAGACTAATGACCCAACCCTATACAGACGCACAATCACCACAACCCCACAACGTAATATACCCCACCAGTGCCGCCAACACAATTGCATTGCCACCATTATGTAGTGCGTTGCAGTGGTGATGAATTGCATATCATTGCAATGATGAAGTTGTCGCTAGCGATAGTGCGTCGCTCGATCAGCGGTGAGGGCGATAGGCATACAAATAGCTGTAGGTGGCAGTGCTTGGTGATGTAGAAAGAAGGGGAGGGAAAGAGGAGATGGGTCGAAAATGAATATTAGGGTTTGATGTGTGAATATATAATTAATTGAATTTTATAATATTAAAATTTGTATTATCATCTAATTTTTGTATATATAAACTATAATTCTGATTTTTGAAATGTAATCTTTAAAAGTAAATCTCCATGTAATTTTCATTTTGTAGGGTAAAATATCAAACTAGAGGAAAAGAAACCTAAAGGAAGGAAAAAAAGGGGGGGACCAAAAGTATACAAAAGTGTGAAGTGGGGACCAAATCGCATAATTACCAAAAGATGAAGGATCTTGGATGCAATTAATAAAGGGCGTAGATGAAATAAAAGTCAAAATTCGAGGACTAAAATGCACAAGATGAATGTTGAGGGATATGGCATGCAAATAGTGGGATGAATTGCAAGAAACAAAAAAGGGAGCCAGGCAAATTGGACGAGCACCCACTCACTCTAACAATGGACAGATAGCCTAGCCGACTCTGCTTGTTTCAGTAAATTTTGAGACTTCTTTTGCAATTTCACTTAGGATGATTTTTGGCCACTTTTAGGCCAACATTCATATAAGAACGCACTCACAGTATTCAAGGAGAGAGGAGGCAAGAAGAAAGAAAGAATATCTACTAAAATTTGGGAGTTTGAAAGGAAGATTCAAGACTTCAATATCTAATACCTTCAAGAATATATTCAAGTCACAATTTTCTTCCACTATCCTGTACTTTTTTATTATTTCTTTCATTTTGCAATGAGTTCTTTCTTTATTTCCTTTTTGTGCTTATATTTTGTAATAGGCTAAGTGTTTAATGTTTGGAATTTATGACGTAACTTAATCTAAGTTTCGTTAATATCAATATTCATCATTTAATGCTTTAACTACTATTGTTATTGTGTATTTATTATTGTGCTTAAATTTCATCATGTATTTCGTTAATAGATGATTGAGTTAGGTGGTTTGTACGATTACTGAGGAATTATTATAAATTCTTGACCAAAATAATTAATACCTTAAGTCATCTTAGGAGATAGAGATGTACTCTAATCTTAACTGACCCATTGAATAATTTACATTACGATTCTATGCGGTTGGTTGGGTTTTTATGAACATAGAGATATAATGGGTAAATTGATTGATTAGGGTTAATTTTGTTTGAGAGCAGTAATTAACTAAACTTGAAAATCGGGTCTAACATTATAATTTGATGATTTGCACGTTCGATTTATTGCAATACTAAAAAAACGACTGTTAAGTGACATAGTAAATTCCAACTTTCCTTCTCTTTCATAATTGTTATTTTAATTGATTCTCAAATTCATTTTCTTTTCCCTTTCATATGTAAATCAAGTTGTGTGTTTTTAATTGTTAAAATTGAGTCAACAATTGTGCAACCAGAAGAAACACTCCTTGAGGGATCGAAACTTAGACTCACAAGTCCACTTTATTACTTGAATGCGCACGTGTACTTGCGATATATATCTTAAGCAAACAATAAGCTCCCCCAAACAGGGCCTAATTCTACATACCATTGTAGTTGTGCTTGATCCATTGTCAAAGATTACTACGAGAGCATCTTGATATTCATAACAAATTTGTCTCTTCATCTAAGGATGGATCTAAGGGATAATTGAACTCGTCCTAGCCATATCTATTTTGGAACTTTTTTCCTTTTTACTTTTAATTTTAGTCAATGTTCAAGTCCCGAAACTATCAACCAAGTCAATAGTGTTAAATGGGTTCCAGCCCATGATGAATATATAGCCCAACTCTCTTTAATTTCTTTTAGCTCAACAATTGTGGACACACATATATAAATTCTCCCAAATCGTAGTTGCATGTGGAGAATTTAGAGAGACAAAAACTGTGGTAAACAAATTGTGTGAGGAAAAACAATTGGTTGTCATTGTGAATGGTCAAATATGGTGGCTTGAAAGTGTGAGAAAACAAAGTGCCGTGACTACTAATACATGTATTGAAAACAAAAATTTGTTGCATGAATTGAGAGAGAGACCGTCGGTTGGGATTTTTTCTTGCAGAGAAGAAAAAGTTGAAATTAATAAATTAAATAAAGTGGTCGTTCAATTTCTTCTTGAGGTGTGGTATCACACAGGTTTATTTTTTCTTCTCTACATTATATAAATTGGGAATATCTCTAAGATATATTTTGGATTTGTATTCAAAGTAGTTTCTCACAAAGTTGATCAAATTGTTGATTTGTGCAGAGATAAATTGTTGTCTTAGAGATAGATTATTGTGATATTTCCAATTTGTGGAGAATTCAAGTTTTGGGACATAAACTTGAATATTGTAATCTATATTAATTATTATAGTGGATTTTGGCCAGAGTTGCTTTGTGGTTTTTTCCCTCTACACTAGAGGGTTTTTTTCCACATAAAAATTTGGTGTTGCATTTTCTTATTTTTTGCTTGGATTATTTATTTGCATAGTTAATCGTTCTAGTTAATTATTTGGATTGGTAAAATTATTCTTGCAATAATTGAAATTGCCCAACAAAGTATATCAGAGCTCAGGTTGTGTGGGTGTGATTTTATTGCGGAATAAATGAAGAATACTTCGGGCACTATGATTAAATTGTCAGCTTCAAATTATTTTATTTGAAAGCCTATGATGGATGATATCTTGTATTGTAAGAATTTTCATGAACCTATTGAAGGTGATAGAGCTAAGCCAAGCAGTGTGAGTGACGGTGATTGGAAGAAGATGAACAGGAAAGCCATTGGATACATTAGACAGTGATTTGACATTAATGTATTCCATCATATATCTCAAGAGACAGATGCACATAATCTTTGAGAAAAATTGGAGAGTCTCTACGAGAGAAAGACCGCTCAAAATAAAGCTTTTACTATTAGAAAGCTTGTCAATCTGAAACTAAAGGAGGGAAAATCAGTTGCTGAGGATTTGAGTGAATTCCAAGACTTGTTAAATTATTTGACCACAATAAAAATAGTGCTAGATGATGAAATGCAAGCACTATTACTTCTGAGTTCATTGCCTGATAGTTGGGAGACTTTGGTGGTATTACTTAATAACTCTGCTCCGAATGGTGTGCTAGAATTTACTCTAGTTAAAGACAGCTTGTTTAATGAAGAAATAAGAAGAAAAGACTTGGGTAGAAATGATGCACATGCTCTTATTACAGAGAACAAAAGTAGGAGTAAAAGCAAAGGTTCTAAGGGACGTGGTAATTTCAGAAGTCAGTCAAAGACAAGAGGGAAGATCAAATGTTTTTATTGCGATAAAGAGGGTCATATAAAGAAATACTGCATGGCTTGGAAAAATAAATTGAAAAAGGAGAAATATTAGAAGAAGACTGATCAGAATACAGCAGCTAGCGCTTCAAAAGAAGAAAAAGTAGTGGTAGCAGTATTTTTTGCTGAAGATGAGCAGTGTTGTCATGTTGCAGATTTATTTGTTGAATGAGTTATTGACTCAGCAGTTTCTTACCATGTTACTCCAAGACGGGAGTTCTTCATTTCATACAAATCAGGTAATTTTGGCAAAATGAAGATAGGTAATGACAGTTTTGCTAGTATTGCGGGAATTTGTGACATATGTCTTTAGACAGATATTGGATGCAGCTTGACATTGAAGAATGTACGACATGTTCCTGACATGCGCTGGAATTTTCTATCTGCACATGCATTTGATGAAGCAAGTTATGACAATTATTTTGGCAATGGAAGACGGAAACTAACAGAAGGGTCAATAGTATTTGCTAGAGGAAAGGTTTGTTGCAAACTTTACAAGACACAAGTAAAGGTGTGTAGTGAAGCGGTAAATGCAACTGAAAGTGATTCTTCACAAGACTTGTGGCATAAGCGGTTGGCTCACATGAGCGAGAAAGGATTACATATTTTGGCAAAGAAGTCTCTCATTCCTTTTACCAAAGGTACATCATTAAATTTTTGTGATTATTGTTTATTTGGTAAACAGCATAGAGTATCCTTTCAAAAATCCTCTAGTAGAAAATCTAATGTTTTGGATTTGATTTATTTTGATGTTTGTGGTCCCATTGAGGTGGAGTCCTTAGGGGGTAATAAATATTTTTTTTTACTTTTATTGATGATGCTTCACGAAAGTTGTGGGTAATCTTTTTTAGATCAAAAGACCAAGTTTTTCAGTACTTCAAGAAATTTCATGCCATGGTGAAACGGGAAAGAGAAAAGCTTTTGACGTGTCTCCGAACTGACAACGGAGGGGAATATACATCTAAAGTGTTTAAAGAAAACTATTTAGAACACGGTATTAGACATGAAAAAACAGTTCCTCGTACTCCATAGCACAACGGTGTGGCAGAGAGAATGAACCGTACCATTGTAGAAAATGTCAGAAGCATGTTAAGGATGGCTGGGTTACTTAAGTCATTCTTGGATGAAGCAGTTCAAACAACGTGCTACCTAATCAATTGGTCTCCATCGCTCCTTTAGATTTTGAGATTCCAGAAAAATTGTGG